TTTTTGGAAATCCCCCTAAATTATTATTATTACATTCCATTTGTATACCGCTCACCCCCTGAGGGCTCTGAGCGGTTCACATTACATTCAACACAAGCCAATCCTAACCTAGGGCCACATACAAGGGAGAGAGTGACTAGCCTACTAGGCACCCTTGTATCTAGTTGAAGTGTGAAGAGACTACAGAGCTTAGCTGAGATACAACTCGTGTTTGGGCACAAAGTCAGCTTTGTGTCCTGAGTTGTAACGGTTAAATGTGTACATGTTCCATTTTGGATCCTAGCTGTCATAGTGTCTGAGACTTCATGTGTACCAAATTCCAACTTTCTAATCACCGGGCAATACACTTGGGGCCCTCCATTCTTTACATTTAACCTGGAGGTCCTGGTGTGTAGGTGTGCCAACCTGCAGTTTTCCAAGTCACAAGACAGCATCAATTATTTCAAGTGCCCCACGAGTTTGAACTGTGCGTTTGATACTGATGTAAATTTTAGCTCATTTAGGAAATATCAATAAGCACAATTGACAACCAGAGCTTGTGGCTTTGGAAAACACACACACCATTTCTAAAGACTGGGCCAACACCCAGGGTGCACAATGTGGTGTTGCCATGTACCACACAATGAGCAGTGATGCTAATAAGATGTCCTGAACGAAGTGCAGACCCTTTGGGAAGTCATAGGAGGGTTGTCTAGCCAATGCTCGTTCCAGATTTACCATATATATATTTTCTAATACATTTTTTAAAAATTCTCTAGGCCTGCAACAAATTGTTAGACAATGGACAGACCTAAATTTTAAAATGTTCCATTGCAGTAAAAGCCAGGTGAGTATACTTCAGGCAGTTATGTGGAAGTACATTAAAAAAAAAAAAGCAACATTTTAGAAGAGAAAAACACTGGATTTCAAAGCACTGAGGAAGCTTGTCCCCCTTGCCAGTGTGGTACAGTGGTAGGAGGGTTGGACAAAGATCTGGGAGACCCGGGTTTGAATACCCATTCTGCCATGGAAGCTGGCTGGGTGACCTAGGGCCAGTCTTAGCCTAACCTACCTCACAGGGCTGTTGTGAGGATAAAAATGAGGTGAAGAGAATGCTGTTAAGCTGCTTTGAGTCTCCACTGATGAGAAGAACAGTGGGATATAAAAGAAATACTTCAACAGACTTCGTAGTAAACCGTTCTGGATCACAACAAGCTTACAGTGGAGTAGGGGAAAGAAGAAACAGAAAGAGGAAGAAAAGGTGAATCAGCTCAAGGGAAGCTCTCTGGACGAAATAAGCTAATCTGAGGTCTGAAAAGTTTTCACTTTTCGAGGTGATACACGAACCCTTCGTGGGACAGCAGAACCTTTCAATCTGATCTGTGTTTTGTGGCACAGAGGTGACGTAAGCAAGGAAAACTTGCACGGTTTAAAGATCCAGTCTGAAGTGGCACGTCTGCCATGACAGACCTCTCTACACATTTACACTTTGAAGCTTTTAAATCTTCCCCCCCCTCCCGTTACTGTAACACGCCACAATTTAATTGCCTCCGTCTGTCTTTGAAGAGAGACGTTGCTTAATTGCATCAAGGAAAGAAACTTTTGCAGGAATTAAATTGGTTCCTTTTCTGCTTCAAGTTTTCTAATTGATGATTTGGGGGCTGCGGTGTTTCCTGTCCTCTGTTGCAAAAATGGATTTAATGAATGTTAAAAATTTGTAAGGGCGGTAGAACACCTTCTACCAGCAAACATTTCACTACGAGTTAGCATGGAATGCAGGGCTGGATCCCTGCTCAGAAGCAATGTGCTTTTTTCCCCCCATCAAGCCGCACCTGACTTTCAGCAACTCCATAGGATTTTCAAGGCAAAAAACTTTCAGAGGTGATCTGCCATTGTCTGCCTCTGTGTATGCAGGCTCCTCAAGCCAGCTCTGCCACCAGCCACGTATGGTGGCTTCTTAGGGGCTCAGTTGACCCAGTTTTTGCCACCTTGGTCTACAAATGAAAGGCTGCCTAGTACTTGGCAGGCCACTGTACACGACTTGGTAGGTTCCATCTCCTTTGGGGGCCACAAAAGCCCTTTTCATATGTTACAGAGAACACACACATCCTGCATGCACATGGATACATTTGTTTGTAAGACAGAGCCAATGCATGTTCACTCGATCACTTCACAAATGAAACTGGAGGACCAGCTCCCCGGATAAATGTGGAGTCTGGATCACACATTTAGCTATAGATGCGTTGAATGAGAATTATTCAGTGCATAGACAAAGAAAAATCATGGGTACCTTGTACAGTTTGTACATGCAGAACAAAGTTTGAGTCCAGCGGCACCTTTAAGACCAACCATGTTTTATTGCTTCAGACCAACACAGCTACCCAGCTGGATCTATCTTTATACATGTGTTCACAATAATTTGTGAACAAGGCTAGATTGTATGGCCTGAAGACAGAGGTAAGGCAGTAAAAAACAGCAATCTGAAGAACACAGACAAACAGCCCATGGAAGCAGAGTGAAACCAGACGGGACCAAGTCAACACCACACAAAAACAAAGATGCTCATTTAGGGGAGCCGTTGTAGGAAATAACGAAGGATGGCGATACCATCTCGGAGGGTAAACATGAATGGCAGCCATCCGTTTTGGAGCTCAGCATCTCCCTTCCTGAAAATTTCGGAGGGGGCTCACGCCCCGCCGCCCCCCCCAAGAAGATTACGCCTATGAATTGCTCATTTAGGGGAGCCATTGTAGGAAATAATGAAGGATGGCGATACCCTCTCAGAGGGTAAACATGAATGGCAGCCTTCCGTTTTGGAGCTCAGCCTCTCAGCGCCAAGCAAATATTTGCCACAGGTTTGTGTTTTGATAATCAGCCATTGGCATTCTGGTTTTCTGGAGGTGACGGACATCAATGAGCTCCCCTAGAGGTTACTCCACAGAGCAAAAGAGATCAGGGTCTAATTGGGTTTTTGGGATGCACACCTCCCAAATACTACAGCATCACCTCTGGGCATTATGAAAAAGAAACAGTCAAGATGTATGGATGGAGTTCCCCCCCCCCAACAGCAAACCGTAGGCATTTGCAATGATTTTGCTTGCAACTAAAGACCTCGGGCTCATGAATTGCCTCCAAAGACATAATTAAACATCCCCGGAACTCCTCTCATCTCTCTCTCTCATATCCTTTGCCTCATCACTCTCCCTTTTAAATAAGGAAGGCATCCCACCTGACTTGGTGGAGCAGTGGGAACAAAATAGGGGGGAATAAGTGTCACTCTGATGCCACCTCTCTTCCAACACAGATCAGTTTTGAAAGCACAGAGTTTTGGGTGAATCCTAGAGCCCTGCGTCAACTTAATGGTGTCACTTACAGGTTTGAGCTAGAAGTGAGGTCACAGCATCAATATGATGCCATTTGTCATTACTCCACACACACCCCCACACACACACACTTGTCTCCTAGTGGTTGCCAGTGCTGAGTGGGCAACCCAGCATCCCACATGCAGATGGACTGGACAGGAAGAGAGAGAGGTCCAGATGGTAGGCTTGCCATTTGTCTGCCCAGTAGTGGGTAACCTACTGCCCTAGGCCCCAATCTCCTGCCCTCAAGAAATTGAGGAGTGGGGGAAATAGAAATAATAAAATAATGGTCTCCACAGTGATGCTCCAAGTATCTCTCAAGTCTCTATGGTCTTTACCACAGAGATTAAGGGAAATTCCTTGAGTTTGACCTGGAAATGCCATCACGTCCTGCCCCAAAATCCATCCTCCTCAGGCACCACCCTCAAAATCTCCCAGTACCTGCCAAGGCAGTACCTTAGGCTGACTAACCCCATTCATTCACTATGATTTTGGTGCTTCCACTTTGCATAAGGGGAGAGCACACTACCTGTGATCTGATACATGCGGTCACCCTCACATGTTGATTATAAAAAAACCACAATAAGTTTAGTACATGGAGGTAGCTTTGAATCTGCCTAAGCCCCTTTCAACGCCATCAATGCTTGTAGCCATCATTGCAGCAATTTAACGGGATGCTTAAATAGATAAATACACAATGCCCCGAAGCAAACTCTTAATAGTGCATTCCTAAACAGAGCTCAGCTCCTGCCAACCTAGCAGTTCGAAAGCAAGACATTGCAAGTAGATAAATTTGGTGGGAAGGTAACAGCGTTCCGTGCGCCTTGGTGTTTAGTCATGCCGGCCACATGACCACGGAAACGTCTTCGGACAGCGCTGGCTCTTCGGCTTTGAAACGGAGATGAGCACCGCAACCCTAGAGTCGGATTCGACTGGCTTTCGAGCAAGGGAACCTTTACCTCTACAAACAGAGCTACACTTCTTCTAAGACCATTGGATTCTACTCAGGATTGTCCAGTGAAGCTTGCACCAGATTTAAAAACCAAACAAAGCAAAACTAGAGTTGGACCATGAAGGGGGGGGGGGGGGGGGAGATCCACTAGTCATAAAATTTTAAATAGAACTTCCAAGCATTCAAAGAACTTTACATCTGGTATCTCAGCAGATTTTACAACAACCCTAGAAGGTGGGTTATGGTTATTATCCCCGTATTGCAGACAGGGGGACTGAGTGTGAGGGAATGGGAGCAATCCTAAACAGGTCTACCTGGAACAAAATCCCACTTGATTCAATGGGACTTCATCCCTAAAAGGTATTCTTAGGATTGCACCCAATGGCTTGCTTACATCCGCTTAGTGCAGTAGCATGATTTGAATCAGGGACTTGGTTTTGCAGAGTCTTCTTTTGTCTGGCCAGTGTGGCCACAGCACCCTGATCAGCAGCTGCTGCAGCAGCTATTATTATTATTATTACTATTATTACTACTACTATTACTACTACTACTACTACTACTTATTATTATTATTATTATTATTATTATTATTATTATTATTATTATTATTATTATGGTGGAGCCGGACTCATCTTGAAAGAGAGAGAGAGAGAGAGAGGAAAAAAGCCAGCCAGCCAACAGGTTCAACTAGTTCAAAGCCCTCTTACCTGGAGAGTAGCAAGAAGAACCTGCAAGCCACTAGTTTCGCACTCGGCCATGGTGCTATGCCCACTCAACTCCCTCTCTAAGCAGCAAACCACCGAGCGGGTTGCCAAGCCAAGCCGCTTTGCTTCCGTTCCTGTCTCCTTTCGGAAAGAGAGAAGCTATACCCCGGCTAAAAATCAAAGCAGTGCAACTCTAGACACCTCCGTGCAAGAGATAGATGTACACACACGCATGCACACCCCAGCCCTGGTCTCCCGTCCCCTTGGTGCTCCCCTACTGTGACGGAGAGATTAATTACTATATAAAGAATCCGAGGGATTAAGCAAAGCCCTCTGCAAAAGGTCTGGGTGTACGGTGTGCGGCCGGAGGCGTGCAGGGTGGGTAGCGATGGCAGCGAGAAGGAAAGCAGCCACAGACCCCCTGGCTAGGCAAGCCCAGGGGAGGAGGGTGATCCGCAGGCCTGGCTGCCTGACAGACATTCTCAGCTGACCAGCTGATCAGTTCCAGAGAAAGCCCCCGGAGGCCAATGCGCTCTGCCAGCTTCGGTCCTAGTGAAATTGGAGACACCAAGCAGAGAGGAGGCGGCCTTCAGCACCAGCACGACCCAGCCAGGGAGGGACAGCAAAGACTTCTCACGCTGTTGATGCTAGATGCTGTTTGTTAACCCTGTCTGCATCTGTTCCATCCGCTGACCGCTGAAACCAGCAACAATCCATTCAGACAAAAGAATCTGCTCAGCAGCAGGTCAGTTTCTAAAGTTTTCATACTGGACTGTATGGCTGCAATCCTGAGCACTGTGACTAGGGTTGCCAACTCTGGGTTGAGAAATTCCTGGAGACTTTGGGGGTGGACCCTGGAGAGGGAGGGGTTTGGGGAGGGGAGGGGCCTCAGCATGGTACAAAGGCTGAGAGTCCGACCTCCAAAGCAAGCATTTCCTTCAGGAGAACTGGTCTCTGAAGTCTGCAGATCCGTTGTTATTCCAGTCGTAATGACCAGGCCCCACCTTGAAATTGGCAGCTGCAATACCTCACACACCTGAGAAAGCAAGTCCCATTGAATTCAGTGAGATTTCATCATGAGTACCCATACTTAGAACTGCACCATAAGTCTCCTTGATGAATTTTTAATTGACAGGCAATTTTGATAGAAAAGTGAGATAGGGTTTTCTTATAAAGAAAAATACATAAAATCTCTTTAGTGAGCAAAGATACTGGAAGTTGAAACCGTAAGCCTTAACAAACGCCCAGTGGGGATTCCTCACGCTTTCCATGCTGCCTCTAAGAGTAACACAGCTGATAACATACTTTATGTCCTGCAGGGTATTTTTTTTCCACCTTTCTTCTCCGCTTTGTTCTCAAACCCTTTGTTCTGAGAATACCCAAGTGACTACCATCCAAGCCTGGATATGTAAGAACTGCAGATCAATTGTAGTCCCCCACCCTTGCTCCAGACAATTAGGCCTGACAATTAGGCTTTGAAAGATTACAGACTGCTAAAAGAAAAAAAATCAAAATTAAAGCTAATCCTATAAAAAGAATGCAGCCTATAAGTTCCTCGGGGCAGGGATCTGTCTCTTTTGCTCAAGTTTACTCTGATGCTCTGTAAACATACATAAATCTTCCATAATTGTATTAAAGCTATCTGCTAGTTAGTAAGTGCATCTTCTTCATAGGCAGAAGAGTTACCAATGGAAAGCTGAGAAGGGGAGCAAGGGTGAAATGCTTTACTGCAGTGATACAGTCTTTAGAAGGTCCCGGGTTCAATCTCCAGCATCTCCAGTTAACAGATCTCAATCAGCCTGTGTTTTGAAATATTATTATTCTATATGAGCTGGAAAAGGAGGGCAACCAAGATGATTATAATCTGTCTACAAGAGACACATATAAAAGAAGACGATGTTAAATACTTAAAGTGTAAAAAATTGGGAACTGCTTTCATAGCATCGAGCCTGGGACTTTTCACTTTAGAAAAGAGAGGACAGGGGGAATAAGGAACGTTGTGGAAATAAATACAATGAGCTCTAGAAAGAGGCACTGGGCAGATGCCCTTGTCTTGAGCACTCAGCATCAAATATAGCTATAACAATTGTGATAAATGGGAAAGAAGTACTCATCATAAATATTTATGCCCCAAATCAAAGTCAAGAAAGTTTTTATCGAGAAATTGGAAAGATTCTGGAGACTAAAGAAACTGAAAATATATGCGTTATAGGTGACTATAATGCAGTTTTTGACTCAAAAATTGATAGGAAAAAACATAAGAAAAACCTAAAATCAGGTCTGCTTTTACCTAAATCGTTCTTAAGTCTAGCAGAGGAGTATAATATGATAGACGCATGGAGAACCAGAAACATAGATAAACAGGACTATACCTACTACTCAGCTAGGCACAAATCATGGTCAAGGATAGATATGGCCTGGATCTCTACGGCAATGTTAAAAGATCTAAATGAAGCAGAAATACTAGCAAACGTTTATGCAGACCATAATCCGATACAATTGTTGTTTCAGCAAAGGAAAAAAATTATGAGATGGAGGATAAATACTAATCTATTAAAAAAATTTGTAACAGAAACAAATACAGAAATACAAGAATTTTTAAAAAGGAATACATCAAAAGAAACATCAATTAATATTATTTGGGACACATTTAAAGCTTTCTTGAGAGGATGGTTTATAAATCAGAAGGCTTGGAGAAGGAAACGGAGAAAGAAAAAAATTGAGAAGCTGGAGGCCAAAATAAAGATAGAAGAAGATAAAATGAAGAAATTATCAAAAATAGAAGCAACAAGGCTAAAAATCAAACTTTTACAACATAAAATGAACATACTACTATCACATGAAATAGCCAGAAAAATAGAATATACAAAGCAAATTTTTTTCAAAAACCCCATTAAACCTTCAAGATGGTTAGCTTATAAATTGAGGAAGGAGAGAGAAAAGAGAACTATCCTGGCTCTACTACTAATCTCAAAAATTCTGCTAAATACTGGCAGAAAACAGTGAAGATGTGAAATAACTAGTGACAAAAGTTAAAGCAGAAAGTGCCAAAGCAAGATTACAGCTGAATATCAAAAAACCAAAAGTAATGACTGTCACAGAATTATACAACTTCAAGGTTGACGGTGAAGAAACTGAAATTGCTCAAGTTTTTCTATTCCTTGGTTCTATCATCAACCAAAAGGGAGATTACAACCAAGAGATCAGAAACAGATTGAGATGGGAAGGGCCGCCATGAAGGAGCTAAAAAAGATTCTTAAGTGTAAGGATGTGTAAGGATGTGTCAAGGCGACCAAGATCAAGACAATTCATGCCTCACTATTCCTCACTATTCCCCATTCCTATGTATGGATGTGAAAGTGGACAATGAAGAAAGCTGACAGGAAGAAATTAATCTGAAATGTGGTGTTGGTGGAGAGTTTTATGGATACGGAAAGTCAAATCAGTCGGTTCTAGATCAAATCAAGCCTGAATTCTCCCTAGAAGCTAACAATGGTCCCGTTCACACTCACCGATTTGGTCCGGGAGCAGGACAGTTTGGGGCCGGATCAAACCGGCGCGATCACACCACAACATCTGGGAAGCGTCCGGCTTCCGTACCCAAACTGTCCCTTGCCCGGGATGAGCCGGCGCAAACTGAACCACCTATCTAGGTGGTTTAAAGGGAAGCGGC